TGATGCCTGTGAGCAGACCACAAAAACAAATCCGGCTACCAAAGCTGTTAGTTGTGCTTGGTTGCAGACTGCAACTTTCATTTGAATTCATCATCCTCACATTCACACACACACAAATTCAACCCATCTAAGAAGCAAAAACAAAAAATTATATTCCTCAAAAAAATAAAAATAAAAAGAACAGATAAGAAAATACTTAATTTCTTCAAATTTTGCTTTACAACAATAGAAATAATAAATAGCGTACAAAAAGTGACGACGGACCACTACTGAAAACTAATAAATGAGTTTAGAAAGATAGAATCTAAAAGTTTAAAAGCAAAAAAAACTGCTCTATCAATTATAAAAAAATTCGATTGCGCGATTAAATTTATGCAAATTGCTAAGAAATATTAAAAATTAACAGAAAAAAGCAGGATAAAAAAAATTAAAGCGAAGTAGGGAGCTGACTTTATACTTTTATACATACACAAAAAAAAACTTTTTCAACTTAGAACAGAAGTCTTTTCTGAAGCAAAAAAAAAATTTTTTCACGACCGATACCAAACAACAAAAGAAACTAAAAAAAGCAAAAAAAAATCTTTTTGTTGGATATTGAAACTGTAAACAAAAGACGGTAATAATCCTCATAGCGTTTTTGGGTATTAATCCTCCACCATAACAACCGAGTAAACTCATCAACTTTAACTTTTTTTCGTCCACAAAACTCCCCCTTTTCTCCACTCTCCTCTTCTAATGTCAAAGGATGCACAAAAAATAAAGCTTTAGCTAGACAACACAAATAAACAGAATGAAAAGCAGACAGATAGCAAGTAAGCAAGACAGAAATTGATATTTCAATTTCCTCAAACTTCAAGTTGTATCGCCTCTGTTTACAGAACTGCAGTTTGCGTTCGTCGATCAAATCAGAACCAAAATAGAGTAGTGCTGAACAAGATAGATGTAGGAAGCCCCACGAATGTGAACAAATCACATATAAGATTCAAAAAAATTTGTGTGAGAAATGAATTCTTCTTATTCATATCTTCATTTTTCTTTTTATTAGCTCCTGTCTTTGCGACAGCAAAATCAAGTAAAATAAGAACCTCTGGGTGAGCAAAACCCAAGTCAACGCTGACAAAATCCTGGAGCCATATACGAGAGAGGAGAGAACATCACATGTAACAGTTATAAAAGAATGGATAGCTGCGTCATAAGATTAGTTTTGGCCACTAACAGTCAAAGCCAAATTTCAAGAAATAGCCAACTGAGCTAATAGTTACGTTAAAGACAACGCATATTTTGTACTTCCAACAAATTGTTCTAAAATTCCAACTTTCTTCTTGATCCCTTCTGCTCCTCCTTCCTTTAACTTTTATCTTCTCAGACCACTTTAGCTCTTGGCTCCATCAGCACCACGGTCACGATCACTGTTACCGCACTGATCGCTGTCCTCGCCCTTGTTGCGGTCGTTGTCGTCAGACCAGTCTCCAACCAACCAGAAAAGCTGCCAAAAGTACTGGTGGAACCCATGTGCAAAAAGCTATAGATGTAGAAGGAAAGGAAAATGAATAACACAAAAAACGCACAAAATTTTGGACAGCAAAACCCTCTTAATCAAGCCATTTCTTAAAGCCATTTACACATTAATTCAAAAAAAGAAGAAATAAAAATCAAAAAAACTTCCTCAAGCAGCATTAAATAACAACTAAAATTTCACAAACTGAATCATTTCATTTTTTCTGCTTTATTTTCTTGTCTCCCAAAAAAACAAATATATACATATGTATGTAGCAGAAAAGAGCAAACTAACAAAAAAAGGAGGAGAGACCATTCAAGTTCTTGGGGTTTTTGTTCGCCCTTCAATGCTGTCAAGAATTCTATGAATAAATCCCGAATAGAATAGATAGCAAGGCTAGTCAAGCCAAATACGGCGAGGAAATTCTTTATTGAGCATAGCCATGTGTGAAGATCCAAGAAACTAATGTAATCCTGTCTGTTGGGCTTGGGCTTGCTAGTCGGTATTCTGCAGTCATTCAGTGACTACTAGTGATAGGAAAGCACCGGTTACGATAAAGATGACATTAACGCTGATGATAATAACAGTGACGATGACTATAGCAAAGATGACAATGACGACAACAACTGCTATAATGGTGATGACGAATACAGATGAGGAGCATAGCAACCGTATCTGTTGATGGCTGCAATCCTCCAACAACACCCATCTCGCCCTTCCTTTCCCTACTCCGTCTATCTTTCTACCATGTAGCTCTCTGTCACAACAAATGACAATAAAAGACAAATTAAAGTTCGGTTATTTAGTACTTTCAAAATCCTGTGAACGTCTGAAAGAACAACAGAACCAATTTCGTGTAACCGTTAAGAACAGACAGAAAATAGCTTTAAAAGAAAAGAAAAAATTTTTATGTTTACACATTAAAATTTAAAGAAACTCAATTCTTCTTCTTTCTTGCTCCAGTGTTCTTTTATTCTTCTGAAGCTCAAACTTTGATTAATAAAAGAATTACCGCTAAAGAAAACTAATCTAGATCCTTACTCGACATATCATAAATATAGAAATAATCAATCTTACTGCTTACTCAGCAACACAACAGGTACCAGCAAAACTAGTGTGCCCTGAACAGCAGGCTACTGATTCCCAGAAATCAAAAAAAAAATCTTTTTTTTTTTTTTTCAAACGGCAGAATAATCTTAAAATAACCAACTGAAACTGTAGATATGTAAATTCGTTTCAAATCAACCCTATTTGATTAAATAAACAAAATTTTTGTTGTCTGCACAAAAAAACACTAAGCATTTAAAATATGTGTTCGAATGACACCAATTTTGTAAAAATAATGACCAAAAAAAGAACGTTAGTAACTACCAATTCCCGTCTTTTTTTCCTTTGTTCAATCTGCTTGTAATCGTCAAAAAATTTAATTAAAAAATGGAAAGAGTTGTGACTATAGAAAACACATATACTAAACAACAAAAATTTAGAAACAACAACAGCATCATCAACATCATCAACAACAACAAATCCCCAACTTTCTCACGATCACTTAAGTATTTCAGGTTTTAGTCAAGTTCAACAGAACTCTAGCAAATTTGTCTGCGACAATAAACATTTATCTTATGACCACCATTTCTGATCACTTATCACAAGATACTGTTCGAAAAACAAAATTTTTTTTGCAGACTTCATTTAGTACAGGTACTAAAAGCTACACAAACCTGAAAACATAAAAACTGTGGCTCAAATAGGCCTCAGAAGTGGCTTGTCAATAGCCTCTTGACAACCAACCAAACAAACAACAGTAGCAGTATCTTGCAACAGCGTCACAGAAAAATCGTTGTCACTTGCCTATTAATCATAAGCAGAAAACCTTTTTGTATACCTTTTTCTTCTTTATTTTTTTTTTCTTGAAAAACTAATTTGTTTTTTTTTCTTCAACAGATGTAATAAATAATTCTTAAATGATTACCTTTGTAAAATACACCATCTTCTATAAACCACATATATTATACTAGATATACCAGCAACTGGGTTAAAACATAATACTTTTAGATGACTATATATAGATGAAGAAAAAAGTGGGGAAAAACCGTTTGTCGCATTGTTTACATGCCATCCATGAAGCTACCCAGCAGAAATCATTTGAGAAAAGAATGCTTTTTTAAAGGATATCAAATCATTATTGGCAACCAACTGCAACAGATTCTATTGCTTTTTGGTTGAGTAAAAACTGCGAACGAAAGCGAATACACAGAGAAATTTTTTCCAATATATGGAAGATGCAATTATTATTAATAAATGATGAAACAACGCAATGCCAAACACTTTTTCGAGCTCTCTCTTAACCCACTCTTTTCCCTTTTTTCTATCTCCTCTTTCCACTCCTCCTTATCTTTTTTTTTTTCTTTTGGCTCCACCTCTTTATCCCAAATTTAACAAAAACCACTCAGCATGTTAAGGCCGCCGTATCCAGCACTGTGTGAACAACGGACATCACAATCACATACAAATACACTTAAATACATCAGAATGCGTATACATGTATATGTATAAACAGACACAGACAAAGGAGCACAGTTATAAATACACGGGGATGCTGGGTGTATGCATGTACGTGTCTGCGATTTGTATGTGTGTGTATCTATCAAAGGTCGCCACAAAAACATCCATCCACCTTTTTTTCTCGGTTACTTTTAAATTAAGAAATACACCACGGTGATAACAACTGTAAAGGATTATATGGCCGACATATACAGTTGGAAGAAAAAAAACGAAACATCGGCATTCCTCTCTGGTTTAAGTAACTGGATAAAGGATCTAAATGGAACCATTAAACTAAATCTACAATATTAGTAAGTTTGATTATTAGACACTGAAACTACTTCAAAAGTTGTCATCATAAAAAATTTTTCAAAAATAATTCTTTTCTTCTTATTAAGCAAACGTCAAAAAAATTGGTTCAAGCAAGTAATAAACAAACATTACATGAAATAAGTCATTTTAGTTTTCTTCTATTCCCTCTAAATTTTTTAATTCATCATCTTTCACGAAGAAGCCAATAACATGTTGCTATAAAACTTTAAAACTCCCAACTTCCAGCAAAATCTTTAGCAAAAAATTAATAACAGTAAAGATAACAAATATTCATGTTCGATATTTATGTAAAAAAAAAAAATAATAATAATTTTATTAAAAGTACACAGTTAAAAAACTGCCGATTAATGACAGC